GCCTTATGGTCTGAGGTGACCAGCACCAGAGTTGAGAAGATAGATCTGTTCTATATTTTTTCAATTCTCTATCATTGAAACTGCCAAGAATCGTTCCACAGGTCTGTGTGCTTTTTTGCTACATTGAATCTTTTCCAATATAAAGTGAACTGGCACCTCCTTCTTATTTCAGAGATGAAGCATCCTTCAGAGGCAGGACCATAGACAGAGGCGCAGCGATTCAAAGGGGCTTGGTGCTCCTAGGCACTGCTGCCCCTACTGCGGCAGTGGTGGTGGCCAGACTCCTGGGTCCTCTAAATCACTGCCAGAGTGCCACGATGCACACTCCATGCAGTTCCTAACACTGGGTTGATGGGTGTGGGGCGCAGCATCGTGCACTCTAAGCAGTGGGGAGACCCTGTTCCATCTGATCAAGGACCTGTCCACCCTCCTTGCCTAGGACCACATGCAGGCTGTCATCTCCCCTGTTCAGAGGTTAATAACTTAAGTCACTCTTAAAATGAGCTAGATTACAATCAATAAACTACAATAAAGCTATTGGCCCATACCATGAGTACCTAGCAAAAGACAGAGGAGGTACTGCAAATGAACTGCAAAAGCTATCTATCTTTGCGCTCCCCCAGTCATGGGTCTATCTGCACCAGCTGAATCCTCCAGTAAAATGTAGCTATTTTATCAAATCATATTTTGAATTACTTCAAGGTAAAGTGAAATATTTCAGATACAAGGTCAGCAGCAGCTTTAAAATTAAGCAGCAAAGTAACTGGTCAAAGAGACTGCTCCCTAGAGGCAATATACTTTTGAAAATAAACATTTTATTTCCTCTCAGTCTTCAAGAACCTGGATTAATGCCAAAATATAAACTTTTGGACAACAAGAAAGAAACATTCAGTAATTTATGACTGAAATTGAATAAAATGACAGCTGTAGTGATCATCCCACCAGGTTCAGCAATATACTCAAGGCATCCTTCAAAGTGACAGGTTTCTTTTGGAACGTTTCTTTGGTTTCTTTCTCTTTTCACTCTGGAGCTATGAACTATGCCAGGTTTGAAAAGGATGCAATTTTTTTTGAGAATAACATTTCAGATTGATTCCATTATGTCACAAACACACTTAGGGTTAATTTGAGCTAGGAATCAGTCAGGTTATTTTACACAGAACTCAATAGCTCTAATTGCAACATTTATCATGCAAAAGTTGGAGCTGCCAGCAAGGTGTTGACATTAAGAGAATACACAGCTTCCCCATTAGGATTTTATTATCCAACATCATGGAACACCTGCCACACAGTGGTCATTGTCACCATAAGCCTCTCAGAGCAACATAATTAGAAGTTTGCTAAGGGCAAAGAGTGAAATTTCCTTGTATTTGCAGATTTATTGTACAGTACAAGTGCTGTACTAAACCTTTATGAAAGCTTGTCAACAGAAAAACTATTGTAAATCATGTGGGTTTAAAACCATACCAAGCCCTAAAATCATAGTTATTATGTTAAGTAGCACACTTTCAAAGGCATGCATTAAAGAGAACAAGGGAAATGGAAAAATCAACTGGGGATGTTCAATGTGCATTGTAAATAAGCTGAAGCTTGCTAATCATCAGGTAATAATGCAATATTGTGTTGTTACTTCTGTAATTCTTATGATCTCAGATTCTTTACATATGAACCTGAGAAGAATGTGTCAGATTCCCATTTGTACTGCACTTAAAAGAATCTATCATGATGCTTGATTCTGCAACCCTTATGTGTTTTAAGTCAAATGAATGGCCTAGCTGAAATATAGGGGGTTACTCATCTGCTAAGTGTTGCACTGTATTGTAAGAGTTGCAGTAAGTAGCAAAAGTTATAGCATCTTCTTTGGACGTGTCTGATAAAAACTTTGAAGGGTTTTGAAGACATCCTGAACCTGGAAAATGGATATGTTACAAATTAGATAAGAAAACTAAAAATGCAATAATTTGTTAGTATTATTACAATTGCATTTAATTCATAGTGAATTTCGTGTGTGTGTTATATTGAAGTTTTTTTGTACATTCTTTTAGTTTTCATTTCTGATTAAATGAAGCTGATGGGATATTCCACTCATAAAAAAAGTTCAACAAAATTATCAATACAACAGTGAAGACCAAACAAAAAAAATCGAATGATCTTAGAATAAAAACGTATGGACTCTCAGATTTACTATGACACTTGCTTCATTTAAGATGTTATGTAGTTGAATATAAAGGCTGAACAGGGACCCACATTTATGTTTGTTCCTCTCACTGCACTTAATTTTTTTTACATAAAAATATATAAAGTTTTACATGAGAAGTCTGAGTTTGGTTTTGCTCAGCAGTTTGAGATAAATAAAACAATTGAGAAAGTACTTATCTGCCAAACTGAAGGAGACCAGAAGTATGTTTTTGAAACAAGTGTATCAATTAGTGTTGAAAATATTTCATTTTGGTTAGGGAGAGGGATGAGCTCAGATTAAATATCTTATTCCTAAGCAACAGTGTGGGTGTGCCACATATAGATTTAGGTATGGAACCAAATGTTTATGGTTAAAGTCCATCTTAAGGGGAGGTGGTTCTTGGATTGAAATCTGAACTTCTCACTTTTGGGGTGTTTTGAACCCAGAAGCATATTTCACAGTTTACCCTCAGTTCTATTTTTATGTAGTCTTAAAAATAATGGGAAATGGGAATGTTATTCTATTGTTATAAATGACTAGAGTATTTATTTCATGTCTCTAAAATCACACGGCAAATTTTCTAGATATATTCAGCATGGCCTTAGTGAGTGGTGGTCAACATAATAAATCAAATTATTGTAAAGTTTGTGCTCCCTGTTCTAAAGAAAAATGTTTTGGAAATGTAAAAAATAAAAATTAGAAGAGTTTTATATCAATTTTCTTTATTCTCATATAAGTTTCAAGCCTTTGAAGAAAGAAAGATTCAGTTTCACATTAAGCAGTTTTGCAAAACAAGGGGGTTTGTTTCATTAAAAAAATTCAGTCAACACACATATATAGGAATTGGATAGTAAATGTCAGTGATTCAATGAACATGAATCCTCAAATACTCAAACATTTCTTAAGAAAGGCATTTCTATAAGCAGTTGGAATGCTTCACAAATGCTTATGAAATCTCTTAAACTTTGACTCAGATATCCTGTATAATATTTTATAACTATATTTGCTTGTGAACTCCAGCACTAAATGCCACGTAGTGCATTCTTAACAAGTATTCTAAATCAGTAACAACAATTAGTGATAGATATAATACTCTCCAATCTGTTTGCATGTTTCTGTTCACACTAGATTTTTATGCTTGTTTTTCTGTTCCTCGATGTGTAATGAAGAACCATCACTTTTCTCCAGACACTCAGGGAAAATGGTCAAAAACTCTTAGAAATTAAATTGGATGTAAGTGCTTAGTATCTTTAGGCTCCAGTTATATACTTCACCCAGGCAGAATGAACCCTGAAGCTTGATCGACCTCAGTTATAGAAATAAAGTATTGCAAGTTTATTGCAGGATTGAGGCCCATGCATATTTACAAGGAAGGGTAGAGTGTTCCTTTTTCTTAAGACAATAGTTATATCTTCCTTTTCACATTTCACTCAAAGCCAAACATGAACAGCAGATCTGCTTTCTGTCTGGTTGTAAGGACATACAACAGGTACAAAAGTTGACTATGTCCATATTTTCTGTCGTTAACAAAAGTCACGCCTTTTGTATTTGATGGCTTCATAAAGTCTCCCTTTCTGTTTCAGCCTTTAGCATCTACAGCATCATATCTCACCTGGAAGAAAGTCATTCTGCATTATGTTTCTAAGAGAAAACATATATTCCATGCTGGAAAAGCTAGAGAAAATGATAATTTTTTGCTTAGGGAAAAGAGATCTTAGTATTCTAAGCAGAAAAGTCTGTTAGCTGACAGAAATGGCAAAATGTTATCCAGGAATGACTTCAGGGATGCTCACAAATATATTTTTGCATGTGAAAACCTTCATAGAGAAAACTGGCAGTTGCATACTGTTCTATGCAGCAGCTACCATCTGGAGCCGCTTTTGAATTCTCACTCTATGAATCATCCACTAAGAGGTGTCATTGAAGCAATGAGGTCAGTGCTTCCATCCCCACCAGGACAGTGACCCTGTCTTCTGTCTGACACACCAAGCTTTTTTGGCACAAGGCCTGGAATGCTCAAAAGTCCAACTTGCCTTGGGTTTTTGCCCACAAGCGTATTGCACAGATGCTGCTGCATTGGTCTGGCTAATTAAACACACATTTTTCAAGCAAAATAACTTGGAACAGTGATATCAAATTAACCCTGACATGAACAATAATGTGGAATTTACCTCAGCAAAATAAGTGCATTAGCAGATAATGAAGCTTTATTTTGTTTCAGTTTATAGGGGTTTCATTTTTTTGAATCAGAATAAAAAATGGACTAAGTAATGCTAGACCCCATTTATTTGGAAAGATATATATTACCATTTAAAATAGTCTTCTAGTTTAATACTAAATTGTCCCTATAATAGCTTTGATTTAGTTTTAAAGGATGCTTTGAATTTGCTTAGTCTTTATAGAATTGTTTTAAAGGTTAAAGCAAAATTGCAGAAACAATTTCAATATTTCTAGCAAAGTATCTCTCTTTTGTTTGACTATGTTTCTACTGGAAAAGTTCTTGAACCTTCCTGCCTATCGAATAATTAAAAACTCCATGAATATATATGAACATAAGAGAGAGAATATGGAAATAAGGTCAAAGAAAGATATTAGATGTAGAAAGCCTTAAATTTAATTTAAGCATATCTGAAAATTAATAATAATAATCGTTCACATATAGTAAGGTATAATTTAAAATAATAATAATAATATGAAAAAGGACTTTCTGAAAATATAGGAATTACTGACTACAAAATTGTATATATTTTTAGTTGAATGTTTATCTATTTTTTGAAGATGCTTCCAAAAATAATGTGTGCTATGTTTCTTTTCTCTGCAGGTTCTTATTCCTAACCGGTATTAGAGCTGCCTGGAAGATGATGATTCTCTTTTATGGCCATTTTTGAGATTTAAAGATTTGTGTTTGTTCTTCATTGGACTAAAAAAAATGATTTTTTTGTGGGAAAGTTTAATTGTGAGTGGGTGTTCTCTCCCCCCCCCCCACAATCCCCAAAAATTCTAAGAAAAGGTTAGTGGAAACTGATACAACTACATGAAATATTTAAGTTTCAACAAATCAACTTGTGTAGCAAAAAAAGTGCTCCCTCTTTCTACCCTTCACCATGGTATGTGTGAATGCAAAGATATGCAGATTATCAGCTGCAGTATCTTGCCCACAGTAGTGTTTAGGGTTGCCAGGTGTCTGGTTTTGAACCAGTCCAGTATTTGAGCTTTTTGTTCGGGAAACAAATTGAGAAACTATAAATGATAAAATATAAATGTCCAGTATTTTCTAAATAAGATGTAATGTAGATTGTGATCTAATGTCAAGTGTGTCTGGAACTTTTATTAAAACCATCTGGAAACCCTAGTAGTGTTCAATGTTATCCATTTACTACAGTGGGCACTAGATAGGTCCTCTAAGGGAGGAATGGTTTTTCCTCACCCTTCTAGTTGATCAATTTATATCCTGAAGAAAGAGATGTTATAAAACCTTTTCACTAGAAGTATTATTGGTAAAGTTAGACAAATACTTAAAAAATCAGGCTAGAACATTTGCCTTCAGAAAACATTTTCATATGTCACATTTACTCCTACTCTATATGTTCCACAGTGTATTGCTTGTCAGTGTCTATGAATCTGTTCATTATGAACCACTAGAAGATTTACCCATTATTGCTTGGGTCCTTAACTAAGGGTTTTGGGGTTTTTTCTGTTTAAATCACTGCTCTGGGAGAAGTGGAGTGTGGGAATACAAACTCCCTGGGGTCTGGAGAAGAACAGGAAGTGGGGTACAAGTGGTGAGAGTGTGTTTAGGTGCAGGAGATTGCCCAGGAGAGATGGTTGGTGCATAACAGAGGTTTCTGGTTGCTGGATCTGGGTGGTGTTTCCCTCAAGTGGCTCCCCAGAAGTAGCAACATGTTTTTACTGCTCCAAGGCAGAGGTCTGTCTAGGTGATGCCTCCACAGCTCCCACTGTCTACAGCTTCCAGAGCTGTGGTGCCAGTTTTTTGGGACAGGAAAAGGCCTATACAGACAGAGCCCCTGTGTTTCTTCTTCAATTTAGAAGTAGCAGGGACATGTAACCACAAAGGGAGCCTCCTAGTCACACTATAAACTGGACTTTTAATGAAGATCAGAAATGCCTTTTTTATAGAGCTTTCTAGTTGGCAAAGAGTTGGTTAATACAGCTTTTACTGTACTTGGGAACAACAGATCACATGATTCCATGAATAAGTGTAAAGTAAACTTCTCCAATTTACTTGTGAAAATATTCCAAAACTAGTTTTTTGTTATTGGAACAAGTCTACTTTATAAACCAAAATTAGACAGCTTTCATCTTTTTTTTTAAGACAAGAAACCATTGCTCCATTTGCACAAAAATAATGCTCACGGTGATTTAAATAAGGGGTAGAGTTAATATCACTTTAGCCAAGTATACTCCCCAAAATGGTTGGAAAACATAGCAATACAATAAACTCTTAGTAGTAATATTGATTTGTAAACTGCTGAAGATACATAAAGATGTATAACAGACTGGAGCTGGTTTAGCAGTTTTGAGAACACTCCTCCCTTTCCATTTGATGAGGAACAATTGCATTCCTTGCACATCCCATTGTCCTTGCACAACCAAACTCTGACATTGCTTTAAGTTAGGACAAGAGGAAACTACAGACCAAGTTTGGTTATCCTAGCTCTTGCCATTTAGGAGGAGTTGTTGAATACTGGAGTCGCAGATGAATACATAGACACACAGACAGATGCACAAACTCTCTCAAACACATAGTAGATTAATATGATCACGTAACACTTGATTGAGTGCAATATATGGCAATTTGGGTCAGAAAGACATTTGGATACCAGGGCTGCGTCTAGACTGGCAAGTTTTTATGCAAAAGCAGCTGCTTTTGAGAAAAAACTTGACAGCTGTCTACACTGGCCGCTTGAGTTCCCGCAAGAACACTGACTTCCTACTGTCTGAAATCAGTGCTTCTTACAGAAGAACTATGCTGCTCCTGTTTGGGCAAAAGTCCTTTTGCACAAAAGGGCCAGTATAGACAGCTCAGATTTGTTTTGTGCAAAAAAAGCCCCAAACATGAAAAAGGCTATTGGGGCTTTTTTGCTCAAAAGTGCATCTAGTTGGCCATGGATGCTTTTGTGGAAAAATGTCCGTGCCAATCTAGACGCTTTTTTTCGCATATGCTTTTAATGGAAAACTTTTCCGTTAAAAGCATTTCCAGAAAATCATGCCAGTCTAGACATAGCCCAGGAGAATAGTTGATCCATCTCCTCCGCTTTGTGGACCACAAATAATAGTAATTGTGCTTGTGACTGCTTGAAATAATTTCACATATCTCTGTTTTGAGTCTATTTAAATCAGATAAAACAATTATTTTGAAGCGGCAAAAACTAATAACCAATTAGTACTCAAATGCTTGCCTTTAGATTTAAAGCAAATGTCTTTTTAATAGCAACTTTTCTCAACATATTGATAGAATTACACTTCACAAGCCCTATCACATTTCAAACACAATGAAACAGAATGTGAAATGATATTTTTGTGCAAACTATGATTTTTTCTGGTTCGTTTTCAAGATCTGTGGTATTTACATATGACCTTTCCATTTTTATTAACAGTTTATTGGATTTTTGCATTCCAGCCAGCAGAAGAGAAAGGTAATTTACACAGAGATTTGACAGTTATACACACAGCTATAAACTTCAGTCCATTAACTTGTTTCTCATGTAACCTTTACAAGATTCTACCAAAACATCCAAATAAGCAGTATATCTTTTTTCCCCTTTATATTAAAAGCTCTCATTAGAAGCCCCTATTCCCAGAATATCATATGGAAGGAGCAGCTCTATGAAAAGCTTTTATCACATTTTTCTGTGGTTTTTGGAATATATAGCTCATAACTTCAATGGCATAATTTGATGTCAAAGTTGCCTGTTTGCAGGTTAGGTTTGTTATATTGTAATCAGCATATATATTAAAATATTTGTATTTATTCAAATGGTCACATTTCTGATCAGTCACTTATAGAGTGATACATATGTACAAATTATATTTGAATTCCTATATAAAACCAGGAATGGAAGACTGTACAAAGTACATTTAGTGTGTAAAAGGGCTTTTTTGGTGACTTGTCTAAATTCATCTTCCCTGCACTCGTAGACATCTTTCAATTTAACCCCTATACCAGGCCCAGGCAAAATACAGCCCACAGGCCAGATTCAGCCCACCAAGCCATTGGATTTGGCCCAGAGAGGCAATGGGGAACCTTAGGAAAGTACCCCTGCTTGCCCCACAGCCCTCTACTCCACTCAAACACAGCTGCAGGGTGCTTTCTCCTTATAAGTAAGGAGGGGGTGGGGGAAGTTTCAGACACTGCTCCTGCCCCCAGCACAAACCCATTTGCCAGTTTCTGGCCAGAAACTAGCCAATGAGAGCCATCTGTTTGAATAATAGGCAGCCATGAAGCAAAATTCCACTCCTCTCCTACTCATTTACTCACTAAAGCACAGGCAAAAACATTTTAAGCTTTGCAAGCCTTTAGCTCTTCAGGAAGGCAGGCTGGTTTGGCTGCTGGCTGATAAGTTTTTTGGCCAGAGCCTGCCTCTGGTACCCCAGTTCCTCCTTCCCCAATTATCTGCCCCCCCACTCTTGCCCCGTGACTCCACATGTACCCCCTCCCAGATCTGGCACCCCAATCTCCTGCCCAAAATAACAATCCTCACCTACCCTAGATCACATCCCAAATCCCTGCACTCCAGTCCCCTGCCCTATGTCACAACTACCTCCTTCACCCAAACTCCCTCCCAGACTCCATTCTCCCTCCTGCACCCCAATCCCTTGTCCCAAGCTGCCTTCTGCACTCAGCCTCCATCCCAGACTCTGCACCTTCACATTAATACCATGGAATTATTCCCATCAAAATCTTGGAAATTCCCATAAAAAATTATTGCCCACATCTGCCCTATGCAATGCTGGTGAACAGAGTGTGGTGGCATCATTGGAAAATCAAAGAAACAAATACCCCACACTAGTAATACATCAATTTGTAGAATCTGGTCAGTTAAAAGCAGTTACAGTCTCATGGATGAAATTGGCTGCTTGATTAAAAATTGAAGGGTTGAAGGCTTGATTAAAAATAATCCTTTGTTTTCCTGGACTAATGTCACATATTATAAGAGTATTATAAGAAATAAAATGATGTGATGGGACTAGCAGAACTACAACAGTACTGCAGACTGATGTGTGTGCTTTTTTTCTCCTTCTACTTAGTATCCAAGAGGTCTGACCTTTTTCAGGGGTGGAGATAAAGAATAAATTATAATGATCACAAATTTGGAAGTTCTTGTTCATTTAGTAGGTAGAAAGATTCTGAGTGTAACTTTTCCCCTCTGCAGTTTCCATTGTGACCCAAGAAATGGTACATTGAATAACTTGGTCAGAGGTTATCACTTGTAAAATCATGAGATTAGCTGGTCACACAAGGCATCACTTAATGCTTTTCCAAACTGATAATGAACGACACCTTTCTTAGAGCTGCAATAAATCAACTCCCCACTTCCCTAATGTTGGTGATGGAACCAATATCATTCTGAGCTCATCAATGGGGAAAGAAAAAACTGTTTCCATGCAGATGCCGTAATTATAGTGTATGTAGCAGTTTTAGCCACAGAGCAAACAATATGCCTTTGAAACCATCACTGACAGCAAAGCTGAAACTTGTCCATCTGGAATGGTGTTGCAGGTTATAAATTGTTCAAAATGTTTGAGGTATACCAGTTGTGATTTGCGGGTGTTGTCAAAATCATCAACATTGCTCACAAAAATTGCTGTTTCTCTGCTCTCCTGTTGGACTTCATGTCTCTTAAATGCCTTTTCTGTTACAGACACACATTTTTGTTACTGTACTATTTGTGTTCAGTTACGCTCTACTG